CAAAGCCGATGGCCGCTCCAAGTTCCATACCCGGTTTAAACGATTTCCAGAATTCATCCATGTCTCTGTTTTTGGGTTTGCTCTCTGATTTTTCATCTTCGGGACAAGTTGGTGTTAGAGGAAGCCCACAGAGTGCAGGATTACCGACAAATGAAGAAGCATCAAATGTCTGTAATTGGGGTCCCGATGGGATTCTCCCAGAAAAGTTGTTATATGACAGGTTCAAGGTGCTGAGGAAATATAATTGGGACATGCTCCAAGGAAGCTGACCTGAAAGCTGGTTCCATGACAAGTCAAGTGATTCTAACTTTCTCATCTGCCCAATGTTTGGAGGAATCCATCCCGTTAACTGATTTCTTGATAAGTTCAATTGAACCAGTTCCAAGAGAATCGATATCTGCACAGGAATCTTTCCTGTTAATTTGTTGCTTGAAAGATCAATAATTTTCAAAGTCTTGAGATTTCCATTCTCATAATCACGCTCCATTCCTTTCCACATTACAAATGCTTTGTCAGCATAGCTTCCTCCGTACCCAGAATAAGCACCAGTACGTGATGCTATAAAATCATGATCATGGGCAGAAATCTCCTGTTCAGCTAATGTAGTTAGATTCTGGATGCACCATGGTATGTTTCCAGATAGATTGTTGTTGGAGAGGTCTAGTAGCATAATATTTGTCAACCAGCATAGCTTCAAGGGGATGTCTCCACTGAAATTATTGGATCTCAGAAGAAGGAAAATTAGTGAACTTAGTCTTTCTCCAATCCAAGTTGGTATTTTTCCAGAGAAGCTATTGTAATTCAATCCCAAAAATTGCAAGTCACTGCAATTTCCTAGGGACCAAGGTATTCCTCCAGAGAAATTGTTGTTTTGCAAACCCAACGATTCAAGACGATACAAAGATCCAATAGAGCTAGGAATTTTCCCAAAAAAATGATTATCAGCCAAATTTAGAATCACTAGACTTGTCCATCGCATCATGCAATCTGGAAGCTTTCCAAATAGTTCATTGTGCGAAACATCAAGGAACTCAAGTTTCCCACCAGTTACAGAGCAGAGAGAAGAAATTGACCCAAAGAACCTATTTTCTGATAGGTTTATGGATGTGACATTACTAGGGAATACAGGTAATAGACCCTCCAACTTATTTTTACTCAAATCTATCCCAAGGCCAAAAGAATTAGCAAATTTTGTAGTTGACAAATTTGGCAAAACTCCATACAGATGATTGGAAGAAAGATTCACATGAAATGCTCTAGAAGATAGGTTCCAAAACCACTCTGGGATGCTATCTGAAATCTCACTTCCAGAGATATCAAGATAAGAAAAATTTCTCTGGGACTTTAACCAGCTTGGAAACTTTGGGCCCAAGTTGCACGACCGAAGTTGTATATGATCCAACTGGAATGGAGGAATCCAGTCATCAGTAAGTTTGATGGTCAAAGGATTAGAAGATAAGATTAACGACCGTAACTTAGATAGTGTTGAAAAGTGTGATTCACTGATAGTCCCATTCAAAGAATTGGAAGAAATATCTATGTGCTCAAGGTTTGATAGGAGTCCAATACTTTTGGACACAATACCACTTAGTTGATTGTTGGAAAGAGACAACCATCGTAGTGAGGAGAAATTTTTTATCATATCAGGCAAGGGTCCTGTAATTTTATTTTTATCCAAAATCAATTCTTCCAAGGAGAGTTGTAAACATCCAAATAAGTTACCAATGAGTTCAGGAAGCATACCATCAAGATAGTTAAAATATAGGTACAGGTACCTTAATTTACACATGTTCCCAAAGGATTTTGGAATCCCTCCTTCAAATTGGTTGTCACGGAGATCTAGCTCTTCCAGATAAGTCATGTGACCGAGATTTTCTGGAATCAAACCCTGAAACTGATTATTACACAAGTTAAGATAAACAAGGTTCTTGCTGATTTTGAACAACCAGTGGAATGTAGACGCAGTCAAATTGTTACTACTCAGATCAAGCTTAGTGAGAAAAGTAGAAGTATTAATCATGGGGATGGACTGAGGAATGGCATCTCGAAGATTACATTCACTTAGAGACAGGTAAGTTAGATGAGGGAGCTTATTAATCACTTGTGGCCAGTTATTTACCTTTCCCAGCTCGTTTCCTCCCAAATCAATGTGTTTCAAAGAAGAAAGACTAGAGAGCCATTCAAGATTTTTGACACTATTGAAATTATTATAGCCAAGATCAAGATATTGCAAACTTGTGAGGTTTAGAAGCTGGCTAGGAAGAGATCCACTTAAATTACAAGCACGAAGATCAAGTTTTTGTATTTTGTTGAGCGAGCTGATAGATTTCGGAACACGGCTAAAGTTGAAATCATTTCCAGCGAGGCCTAAATAAGTTAAATGCTGCAACTCAAATAGGGAAGGACTAAGGTTACCTCTCAATTTAAGATAAAAACCATCATCCTCCCTCACTTTAGTTAGATAAAGCACAATGATGTGCCCAGTTGTGTTGCTACATTGAACCCCTTCCCATTTGCAACACTCTTTTTTCTCTTCTTCACTGCCCCATGAGGAAAGCTTGCCATATTCATCAACCAGACCTTGCTTAAATGCGAGAAGTGCTTTTCTTTCACTCTCCTTGCACCTAATTTCATCATCACGCGTTGTTGAATTGAATCCAATGGAAGTTTGGATATGCAGTAAAATCAGGAGTGCAAAGAGAAGTTGAAGGGACCCTCCACCCAAAATCTTCATTTTGGAAATGAAAGGGAATGAAATCAAAGATAAAGGCGAACCGAAATGAAGAGTGTTTCAGGGAAATATGGTAAACAAGTAATTGAGGAACGTCAGAAATTAGATGAAAATAGCAGGTATTTTGCTAGCTGCATTTTGGACCCTGTGGTTGCACAGAAATGGAGTATGGGATGAGAGCAGTAAAAAGGTAATGTGCTTGATGGGTTCTCAAAACCACTCTAGCTACTTATATATAGCTTCAAGAAAACACATTTAAAGTTGTAGTAGCGCACATCAAAGAATATTAATTTACTGTAGATAGAAGGAGAAGATTCAAAGAAGATTCCAGTAGGCAACATGATTTACGTGAAATGATTAAGTTGAAATCTTGGGTAAATTATTTGTAATATGAATCTACGCAACAATTTTAAGTTTTTTACTCCATATGTTTAGCATAAACAAAATTCTAAAGCTATTAATTTACCATAGGTTGATTTTAAAATCCTAACAAAAGTCTCTCCTAAATGTCATTTTATTTCACAACCTATTAATTTACTTTTCAATCCACTCTTAAACTTAATAAACACAATCTCCATTGATGTCATAACACCATCTTAAGCAGAATAGTTCAAGGGAAGGGCAATCATACTAAATGTTTTGGCTTCCTACAACCCTTGCCTAATTTCTAATTATAAGGTTTTAGAAACTAAAGCTCCCTCTAAATACTAATAAAACACTTGATATAATAGCAATTAAGTTCCAGCAACTTTGTACAATTTTACAGCAACCAACTCTGTACGACAAAAATTACGATCACCCAAGCAGACCATAAGAACGTTGCCCAAAATAATGTCGTTGTAAAGAATAATTTACGTGGTATTTTACTTGACATTTTCTTTTTCTTATTTTTGAAAATATTTTACTTGACATTTTCGTGATAATTAATTAGAAGGACCCATTGCCCAAAACCGTCATTTTAAAAAGTGATAAGAACAAAATGAAGATGAAGCTCAACCGAACTGGTGACTGTGCCAAGGAAATTTAATCCTTTGCAGTGTCTACTCAGTTCTCAAAAGCATTTTGTTCTACTTATCTATGGTTATAGGGAATATCAAAGAAATAAAAAAAATTTTAATATGTGCTTTACATACCAATTAAAGATATATTTATTATATTTTTATTATTAATTTATATAAAAAATAAAAATTAATTTAATTTTATCAATCATTCAATTTAAATACTCCTGTAACATTAATATTAAAAATAAATTTTATTTTTATAATTTTTTATAAATTAAAAGTAGAAATATGTCATGTGTCCTAGGAAGATAAGTTAGAAAATTGTAACAAATAATGAGAACTCATTAATTTGCAGTAGGTAGAGGAAGATTAAAGGAAGCTACCAGTTTGACGAATTTTAACAAAAAGGTTGGGTGGACCTGCACAATTCAACAATACATTCAAAAAATGAGTGCGTGGAAGTTGGAACGTGCTAAAGTAAAAGAAGTGGATGAACATTGACTTGTTGACTTAATTACCCGCTCTGGTCTCTGATTAAAACACGTCAATTAACCAACTTTGGAAATCTTGTTTCCTGGAAGCATCCTACTAAAGTTATTGAGAATGCAACAGAGAAAAGAAGACCGACCTTTGATTTTAATTATAAGCCGGGGCTCCTTAAAAAAAAAAAAAAATCATTAACAAGATTTCTATGTAATTAATCTCATTTTTATAAATGATTAAAGAATAACCATTCTATCAACTAAACAGATCTCTAAGAATAAGAGCATTAAACTTGCTGAATTCAGATTTCAGTTTTATTTCTGTTGCAACTAACTTCTTGTTCATTGCTTACAAACTAGATGCTGGAATCAAACAAGCAAAACACCAAAATGATACAATTAAATATACATAAATCATAATTTAGTAGTACACAAAAATCAGAACTCAGATTGTAGTCCCATCTAATTTCATAGCAAGCTGCAGTTATCTCTTCTTACATTAGAAGATGCAAACCACACAAACAGATTTTGATTTGTTATTATCATTACACCAGCAAGACAGAATAGATAAATTGAGTCCTCGAAATGTGAAGAAGCATGTTGAAACTTAAAACAACCTCCTCAGGTGATTTACTCTGTCATGTTCAGTGAAGTAATACAACATGATTGTGCGAAATAGTTATGTTGAAACTATGGGTGTACGTAATTATTTGGACTTGATTGTGTTAAAGAAAATTACTTATTTGGACAGTATGATTCAAAGAACCCTATAATTCTTATCTTATTATGTGCTTAGCACAAAAAAGGTTATAAAGCTATGAAAGTCTAACCTAAGGAAGATGACAGTTTGGAAATTTTGAACTGAAAGGTACAGTGCGCCATATGGTTTGATCTTGGAATTCAACAATACAGATCAGAATGTGGAACACGCTCACGCAACGTAAAGGAAATGGAAGACCATTGACTTGTCGACTTGCCTACTCTGGTCTCTTTCTCTCAAGCTAGAAAACAAGACAGAGTTGGATTAATTGACTTTGGAAATTTTAGTGCTCTCTCTCGGAAGCATCCATGCAAATACAAAACGAAGACTTGACCTTTGATTTAAGGAGCTCCGATTTATGAGCAGGAGCTCCTTAAATCAAAAACCTTAAAGAAAAATGAAATTTATGTTTACCCAAAACCATTATATTCACTGAGTGATAAGAAGTAAGAAGAAAATTAAGATTAATTTAGATGAACAAAAATGAAAACTGTCAAGGAAAAATGGTCCAAATTTTACCTTTAATTGATTCAACTATTTGAGTTTCGGAACCTTTCTGCTTGTGTATATAAATGGCTGCTATGGAACGCATAGATTGAACAATATCAACAGGGAACATAAAAGAATTAAAAATGACGCATTAATTTATTGTAGGTACACACGTCAAGACCATTGAGTTGTTAACACCAATAAGATTGGAATTTATTGTAGGTAGACTTGTATGTATAAATGGACAACTTCGTGATCACCACAAGCAAAGAAAGAATTTAATTAATTTATTGTAAGTAGACTATGAATATAAGGACAACTTAGTGACCGCCATAAGTTGGAATTTTCTCCGGATTCTCCTGTAAGTATGTTTTTTTTTCTAAAAAAGATATTGGATTGGAGAACTTGGTAATGTGCACTGAATTCTTCATAAGGAAAATAAATAAAAAACAGTGAGAGCGTGACGGAAGATAAATAATACTCCTGATCTAGCCAGAAAAGAAAAACCTAGCCCAAATTCTACTTTTACACATGGACTTAACCTAGCCAAAAAAGAAAAACCATTTTTTATAAGTCGTACTAATATCTATAATATCTTAAACCCACCATTCAAAAAAGTATAAAAGCAAGTTCATGAGAAAGTTCAATCATACTAAATGTTTTTGAATCCTTAAACCCTTATCTGATTCCAATTATGAAAGTTTCCAGAAACCTAGGGCTCCCTCTATATACCAGTAAAACATTTGATATTTCAGCAGTGAGGTTTCAGCAACTTTGTATAGGTTTACAGCCAACAACTCTGTACAACAAAAGACACAACCATCAAAACAGACTTACTTAACAAAATCAATATGTATAGGGCAAGATGGTACCAAAGAAAAAAAAAAGGGGAAAGACAGACCATGTTTTTTGTTTTGACAAAATATGATTGTTAAAAGATCACGTACAGTGGAACAGTTCAACGAACATCCCATAAAATCATTACTATTAAAGGTCATATAGCTTAAAGCTTCCATATCACTCTCTCAATGTGATAGGAATGAAATCTAACCAAGAAAAGAAAGAGACACACCCCACTATAACATTTAGTAGCTAAGCTGCTAGGTAAAAATGCTGAAAGCTATCAATAAATTATTAAGGACCAATGGAACCTGTTCAGATTAAATCAACACTTCATTGGAAGGTTTGCCGATATTGTAATACAGAGGTCAGGAAGTGAAGGCTATTTTGCTATTGATCTATTGAATTAGCTCCTCTCTCTAAGACAAATTAGGAAAAAAATCCATTATAACATTCTTATGTGAAAGTGGCACCAAGCATTACGTTGGCCCCTTGATAATATGCTCAATTATGCCACTTTTCTTACCTATTTTATGATGCTGGAATTTGCCTCCGTTAACTTAATGACAAATAATTAAGGACCAATGGGACCTGTGCAGATTAAATAAACACTTCATCAGAAGGTTTGTAGATGTTATAAAACAGAGTTCAAGAATTGAAGGCTATTTTGCTATTGATCTGTTGAATTAGCCACTCTCTCTAAGACAAGTTAAAAATGAAAATTCCACTAATGACATTCTCTTGTGAAAATGGTCATAAGCATTACATTGGCCCCTTTCATGATAATATTCTGAATTATGCCACTTTTCTTACCCACTTTATGGTTCTGGAGTTTGCCTTTGTCACTGATACTAAATTATCCACTTAGTCTTTAGATTCTCAAAAGATTAAAAAAAACCAAGCAAATAATTCATTATCTGACAATGACTCAGGTTCCCTAGAGCACAACCAAATGGTTAAGAGCTTATCTCAAGTTTAAATCTTAAAATGGGCTGAGAGGGTCAGTTTTGTAACAAAGAAAAAATGCAAGAGTGGATTGCTTGCATTGTTGTTTTCATTGAAATATTGAACTTGCAATAAACAGGCGTAGCACATAACATACCCACATCACAGAGAAAGCAACACCTCACCTTTGAGGCGAACCAGCAGTCCTTTTAACTCAAAAATAACCTGAAAGAAAAAAGTTGAAACCCCATGAGTTTTAGAATATTAACTGAAGTATTTACAGAAAACAGAACTGATAATCTAGATTTGTTATTTCTGGGGATGAAAGAAACAGAGGAAGAGAGAAAAGAAATTACCCGTTTGATTGATGAGTCGAACCTCAGACCCTCCACTTCCGCCATTTTTGTGAATTGTGAGGAAAAAAGGGATGCTGATTGCTGAGACAGAGAGAGGGGAACTTAGGAATTGTTCGACATTTTTAATCAACCATGTTCGGTGCCCCACCTAAAGCGTAAAACCCACTCCATTTTTTAACTCTTTTTATTTTATGTTTGTACCTCACATTTCCATTGTTTAAAAATACAATAATAAATCCGTACATGCCCACCTCCTGACCCTCTGATTATTTAAAGATAAGATCTTTATATTAACATTAAAATTCTGAATTAGGATTTCCACACAGACTTTTATGTTTCTCTTTAATGTAACTTCGAAAACTTTTGATAAGGGAATTGGGAATTCAATTAAAATTGAAAATGAAGAATGTGAAAGAAACCCATATTGATTGCATCAAAATTGGTTGACTTAAAGCCTACAGAATTCAGATTGCATCTTAATTTCAAGCAACTCATTACAAACTAGTGCATAATATAAAACGAAAAAACAACCCATCTAAACACACCAATCTAATATGAACAATGTGGCTCTGAACAACTAACTATAAAACAGTTACAGCCAAAAGAAAACTATGGTCCTCTTTCTCTGATTTTAATTAATCATCCATGTTTATCCTTTTGGCTTTGGCAAGGACCATTGGAAACACCTCATTTGTTTATTTAAATATTGCATTGCAAATTTGGCAGATGATGCTACAGTTATAAATAAAGGCCAAGAAGGGAAGGCTAATAACTGTGTCAACTATTATCAGATCATTAATTTCAAATTCTAGAAAAGATTTATTAAAAAGAAGTGATTGATAATTCATCATCTTCAAATGACTCAAACAACAGTACTAGCAGCAAGAAAATGTTATCAAGTATATGATGGAATTGCTCTAACAAAATCAAAACCCGTCTTATAGTTCTGCATCTTGCTCTTGTTACCTTAATGACATGGCTACTACTAGATTATCCACTCTAGTCTTTAGATTCTCATAAAGATTAAAAGAGCAAGCAAGCAAATCATCATCATCCACTAATGAGTCACTTGGAACAAAAACATGCAGAAGAAATTTGCTTAGATTGTTGTTTCCTTTGAAATAAACAGACCTAGCACATAATTTAAACACACCCACTACACAAAAAAAAACAAGACCTTACCTTTGATGCAAATCAGCAGCACTTTTAACTTAAACACTTGAGGAAAAGTTGAAAAGCCATGAGATTATATAATTAGTCACATAAAACAGAACTGATTTCCAGTTTGTGATTTCTAGAGATGAAGAAACAGGAGAAGGGAGAAAAGAAATCACCCTGATTGCTGATATAAATCTCCAACCCTCCACCATTTTTGTGAAGAGACACACAAAAAGTCATATCTGAACGGATGATTTTAGTCCTACCGTACATCTCTTGAGCATTTGACTATAAATTGGGGTTTATGTTTCTCTCCTAGTCTACATTCGAAAACTTTTAATAAGCAAATTGGGAATTCAATTAAAATAGAAAATGAAGAATCTGAACAAATTAGATGATACAAAAACAAACAGGACAAACAAACCATCTAAACAGGCCTTTAAATTCAAAAAAGAAAAAATAATAATAAAATAAAATTAAGCGGACAGGTTGGAATTGTTGATGAGGGATCCTGTGGGAGTTGAAAATAAATACTGGAATTTCACTTTGCAAGATGAGTCCTTGGGGTGATGAAACTCCTTGAACCTAAAAAGCAATAATAAGAAGTGATTTGCTCTGTTATTCTTTTTAATCAAGTATGAAAGTTGTCATACAAGATTGGCATAAATGTGTACCTACTTCTCCAAGCTGTAGGGAGAGACTGATGGCCCTTAAAACTTCAATTTTATTCACAATCCGGAGACATACTCTGTCACCAGCAAACCAAATGTTGCTACAATTAAATAAAGGCAGTCTTTCAAGTTGCCGAGGCAGACTCTCATATTGTTGAACAACAGACGTTTCCAAGGATGATCTAACTTCACAGCCAAACTCCCACAAAACCAATGATTGCTCCTAGTTTCATACTCGGTTCAAACGATTTCCAGAATTCTACTCCGTCTTCTTTTGTTGTCTTTGCCACCACAGTCTGTTGGTTTGCTCTTTGATTTTTCTTCTTCTAGGCAAGTTGGTCTTAGAGGAAGCCCACAGAGTTCAGGATTATCAACAAATGCAGAAGCATCAAAGGTCTGCATTTGGGTTGATAATGGGATTCTTCCAGAAAAGTTGTTATATGACAGGTTCAAAGTGTTGAGAAAATTTAAATGGGACATGCTCCAAGGAAGCTGACCTGAAAGCTGGTTTTGTGACAAGTCAAGTGATTCTAACTATCTAATCTGCCCAATATCTGAAGGAATCCTTCCTGTCAAATGATTTCTTGATTAGTTCAGCTGATGCAGTACAGAGAGACTCAAAATCTTGACTGGAATTTCTCCCGTTAATTTGTTGCTTGAAAGATTGATGATCCTTAGCCTCTTGAGATTACCATCCCCATAATCACATTCCATTCCTTTCCACATTACAGATGCTTTGTCAATGTAGCTTCTTGCATGAAAGAAATACTCATCAACAATTAATAAACCATGCTTACTGGCTGAACTTTCCTTTTTTATTAATGCAGTCAGATTATGTATGCACCTTGGTATGCTTTCAGATAGATTGTTGTTGGAGAGGTCCAGTAGCATAATATTTGTCAACCAGCATAACTGAAAGGGCACGTCTCCATTGAAATCATTGGATCTCAGGAGAAGGAAAGCTAGTGATCTTAGCCTTTCTCCAATCCAAGCTGGTATTATTCCAGAGAATCTATTATAACTCAAGTCCACAAATTGCAAGGCACTGCAATTCCCTAAAGACCAAGGTATTTCTCCAGAGAAATTGTTGTTGCACAAATCAAACGTTTCAAGCTGGTACAAAGATCCAATAGAGCTTGGAATTTTCCCAAATAGTTTATTATTAGCCAAATTCACAATTACTAGACTCGTCCATCCTGTCAATGCAATTAGGAAGCTGTCCAAACAGTTAATGTGGGAAAGATCAAGGAAATTAGGGATCATACTAGTTATGGTACAAAGCGAAGAAATTGACCCAGAAAACCTATTTTTTGAGAGGTTTATGGATGTGACATTATAGGGAATGCTGGTAATGGACCCTCCATATTATTTCTACTCAAATCTATCCCAAGAGAAACAGAAATTATCATTGAAAAACCTGGCAAAATTCCAGAAATTATCGCTCCCCTAAGAAACCCTATCCGACTCTTCTCTCCACAATCTTCTCTTCTCCACGATTTGGGGCTTTCTCTGCCCTAGGGTTTTCCTTTTTCTGGAATGAAGGAAAGGCTACGATGGAGTAACTTTGAGGGTCTATATATAATAGAATTATGTCGGTGTATTTCAACCGCTAGAAGGGGTATGGAGGGAAGAGGTTTCAACGGCTATATTAGGGTATTGGCGTGTGGGTATTTCAAAGCCTATAAATTGATTATGACCGTTGAAGAAATCGCAGCGCCATTCCAAGTTGTTCTTCAACGGTCAAATAGAGGGGGATGTTTTCCAACGGCTATAATGAAGGGACTGGCATGGAGGGGAATTCTTCGGATGGCGGGGATTGCTATGGCGGTGCTGGACGGAAGAATGGAGAGTTGAGCCGGATTCCAAACCTTGGCTTTGTATTTGCCATACAGATCGTAGTGTTCTGGACCAACATTGAGGTCCTTGGCAACCTAGAGATGTGAAAGTGAAACAGCTCAAATGGAGTTGGACTTAGCTACGCAAATAGAGAAATAAAATAAAATAAAATAATAATAATAATAATAAAAACCACGAAGAATGGAGATGCCGGGCATCGATCCCCGTACCTCTCACATGCTAAGCGAGTGCTCTACCATCTGAGCTACGTTTTCCGTTCGCGTCCCTGTCTTTATTTTATGGATAACGATCGTTTCACTACATTTTAGATGATCGAAGAAACACGCAGAAGTTTTGGTTATATTGGGAAGTAAATATGCAATTGGGAAGAATCTATTGGCGGTATAATAAGATCTTTTCCCTCAAGTAACTACAAACAATAAATTGATAGTCCTATCAATGTGTTCTTTTGTAGAGAGTTCTATGACAATCACATTGCAGCAAACTGCAAACCTACCAGTCAAGGCACCAATCTTGAAACTATTGCCGACAAACACCTTTTTGCTTTTTCATGACGTTTACCTTTTGCTTTTGAGTGAACAACTCTTATGACAATGTTAGAATGAATGGTGGAGAGCAAAAGATAAAAATTTGGAGTTTTGCATTGGTTGAATGAAGACTAGAGTTCTTAAGCGGTTTCAGGAACCTGCCTTCTATTACTTGATGTTGAATAAAGTACACTGAAATGAAAATTTTCAGTCGGTTTTGATCATTTTGTCTTATCTCACTTCGAGAGTTGAAGCTTTTCCAAGAAGAATAGTAGTAGCCATGTCTAATGTGCTGTGTTACAAGTATGGTGAGGACATGAATTGCTGCAATTCTCTCCCAGTTCTTCACAATCCTGAGAAGTCTTTGTTACTCATTACCTCCAAAACTAATTTTCAAGATAAGGCAGAGGTTTTTCTTAATGAAAAATCATCATGTAGAAGTTCGTTTACTGGTTCAGACAGAGAACTGCCAGTTCCATGCATGCTAAGGAAGAAGACTCCTGTTAAAGAAACTACTTCTGTCAAATATACCGAGGTAGTTTTCAAGAAACTGTATTCTTCTTAATGCTTTGTCTTCTATTAAAATTATAGTTCAAGTTATGTTTGAATTCTAACCAGATTTTGATGTTAAATATGTAGCATTTAAATGGGAAGAAGATGATCAATGAATATGTCAAGGAGCACGAGATTAACCGAGGAAGCTACGGGAAAGTGGTAATTTTTTGCCTTGCTTAGGAGTTAGGAGGTATAGATGGCAACAGAAATAAAATAATTTGCTTACTCTGTGCAGGTGCTCTATCGGAACGTTAGTGATGGAAATCCATATGCTTTAAAGGTAGCTGGAATTTTTCTTTTCTCCATAAGTTGTGTGCTCAAGTTCTAGTTGTTTTTTACTTTATTCTATATTTCAGTTTTTCCATTGGTGTTAAAAAGTAGTAGAATCTCTTTCCTTTTAGTATCTGGTACGCGATGCATTGATAGCCACTATCTGGAATTGGATGAATACCTATGATATGGACATTACTTTGTGTTGTTTTAGAAAATTTGCAAGTCTCGATTGCGCAAGGTGCGTGTGACACAGTCAGAAACAGCCATGACCAATGTTCTTAGAGAGGTAATATTTTCCATCTCAGAATTTGCTTGAAACTAAAGAACATTTGACCATCAAGTAACATACTCCATTCAACATCCTTTTAGAATTATCTTCTGATTCCCTAATTAATTCAAAGCATTGAAAAATTGGGAATGAGGTCTCATGCTTGCAGGTTGCAGTGATG